TTCTCGCTGAAGTTTTGCTATTGCAGGCAACACTTATTTTGTTTTAAATTGAAGTCAAGCAAAAAAAAAAGACTAACAAGGAAAGGATACTTCGTGACCGTGGTCATTCTTAATAATTTGTATATCAAAAAGCCTTTTAATGCTGATTCGAATGTAATCTTCCATATCTGCGGAACGATAATCTGGATAGAGTTACGACTATTTTTTTATAAATAAATTGTGCTACTGCGGAGAGTCAAAATCATTAATAAAAGATTATCTTTCCTTTTTAGATGCTAGATTTGATTTAGATAGGTATAAAACAACAGTACTTCTGTTAAGATTCCCTCAAATAGCTTCAGACGGTAACCTATAACAAACTTGGTGAATTTAACCAAAAAGGCGCAAATTTTTTGCGCAAAAAAAGTTCATAACTTTTTTTGCAAAAGATTTGTGCCGCAGATATCGAAAACAGATTTAAAATCAGCCTTTCGAGATGCGTCTTACAATATACGTCGCATTCCAAATGGCTAAGGTCACCGAGTATCCTTTTCTTGTAAGGAGTGCATCTGAATAAACGTGAATGCAAATACAAGGACAAGAGGCGACTTTAAAAATTCTCAAATTTTATAGAGAAAATGAGTGACGAAATTAACACTTTTCAACAAGATGTACATACTATTAAGAGGCCGTGGAGCTTTTAAGGTAAAGTAATCCTTCAAATCTTTGAACGAAAATTAGGATAAAAACACAGTTGTGCTCAGGCGACATGAGCTTGGTGGTTTGCTGTAAATCCAATCAAATAAAGCTTGTGATTTTTCTGCTTTGACTTTCGCTCATTTGGGAAGTACAAATTTAGATAATTTAAAATAGAGCCTTGAAAAATCTGCACTTCTTGCAAAGTCCTTCATACAAGGTAGCTTGAACATGCAAGGAGAGCAAGAAAGAATGGAAAAAAACGCTTTCAAATTTGCGAACAGCTTAGCAATATGAATACATTTCCAAACAACGTTAACCTCAGCTAACAAACATCGAAAATGAGTCAAAATGGGTTTCCTCATCGAAAAAAATGCGAGAACTGTATTTTCTAAATTTGCGACAGATTTTATGAAAGAAAACCGCTTATTAAGCTTATTAGCTGCTTGGTTTGTCGCCTGCTAAATGCCACATTTTTCTCACTTTTACAAATTTATAGAATATCTTTTCGTCAACGTTTTCTCTTTTCTCAAAATTGTCCACTACAAGGGAGTAAGTAAACACTGCTGATGCTAAGTTCGGAAGTTTATAAGTTAACTTGAGGCTAAAACTAATTTATTGAAAACATGCCTGCGCAGGGCCAGACTGGGTAGCGCTAGCAAGGGCTCAGCAGAGGCAGCGCTTTCACACGCCGTGAATCGTTTTTTTTTCGGGAGAAAAGCAAAAGAAAAATTGTAAAGCTTTTAAGGGTATTTCCGGATCTGATGGGATAGCAGGCACAATTCCTACACATACATAGTAAGCCCAAAGTCTCTTACGTCATTCAACCAAAAACAGGTCAATTAACATGCTACAAATACGATTAGAGTGCCAACTTGTGTTCACAGGATTCCTAACGTGTTGAAACATGATCTTTATGGAAAAAAGATAAACAATCAATTTGTTTACAACGAATAAGCAATATTAAGCCATCAAATTTAGTGTATAGCTTCAAGACGGTGAGGAAAAGATAAGTATGAAAAGTTGTGAAAAAATTATGTGAATGAAGGTTGTATCGTTTATTCGTTGACCGTAACGACTGCTGACCGCGCGGCGACCGCTGCGCGTGCATGATGTTTTCGTAGAAAAAATGAATAGAAAGAAAACAGAGGATTCTTCTCATCTTTATAATGTAGAAAAGAAACGAAGAATTCTTCTCATCTTAAGCCACGGTCCAACTTGTCACTTTTCGCAAGTTTAGAAGGCACGCGTCGCAGTCGCCACGCGGTCGGCAGTCCGTACGGTCAACGAATGAACGATAAGTGTTTTTTATCTAGCTTGCTCCCGCGCAACCTGGGAGCACTTTGAAATTGCGCGAGACCAAACAAAGTCCATACCCACTTCTTCACATAATAACTCAAAAATTTCTACATACTCCTGTTCTCCAGGTCAAACTCCATCTAAGAGTACTCACTTTCTCCATAATTTCGACACCTCTGCTTTCTTATAGCACTATACCTTACCTTACAAAACCTTCTTGTTTCTCGCCTTCTATTGCTCTATTCCAAATTTTCTGTTTTTTGTTTTCATTTTTAGTCACTCATCGTTCGCTGTAGATTTTAATCCGTACTTCCAGATCCACAGAAGGATATTCGTAAATTTCTGCAATGTCAAAAAAGACTTCGTTTCCAAAATTCTCAAGTGCCACCTTCTGTTGGGCTGGCCATAGCATTTTGGCCCATTGCAATGCGTCGAAAATGCAGAAGATATGCTTTAAGTTATAGCCCCGTACCACTTTATCAATTGATCTCAATTAGATACTTTTTTATATGTTTGTACGAGTATAAGCCCGCTTGCATAGCTGCGAATGTAATTTTAGACACTCCGGCTTCGCCGGATGCATCTTCTCGTAAAAATTGGTCGGTACACCGTGCGTAGTTATGGCCTACTCTAACTAAATATTTGATCGATTAGGGAACCGTTTGACACAAAATATTAGGTCATTCCGAAAGTCATGTCGCTTTTTTCAAGCGTACGCCACATCTCGTGCAACAAAGTGTGTAAGAGATTCTGGTAGCATTTGATGCAGCATTTCCTACTTTTTCCAATGGCTTTCTCCAACCACTGCACAAAATTCAATAACCTTTCGAAAATTATTGAAATCTGCAACCCCTGTTTTTTAGAAGATCAAGTTTTACAATTTTTCTAAATTTTTACAATCCTCGGAAGGGGTCCAAGTAATGGTTGGATAGAGCAAATCCTACAGAAAACAGCACAACTTTTTTCCACTTTCCAAAGCTCGTCATGATTTTTGTGTAGGTTTTTTTGATGAAACCACCGAATTTAAGCATTTTCAGACACAAATGCATCAAACACTGATAGATCTTCGGATTTTTGAACCAAAATGGATTATGGTTTGGTACTAATTTTACAAACCGAAGAGCATTCTTAGCTTCAGATTAGCAGCTTTCGAAATTTTCGGGTCCAGTGTGTCGCGGAGTGGGCCCAGTCAGTGGTAAGTGCTCTCCTGCATCGGCGAGGGGAGCTGAGGACGGCATCTGTGAATGAAGGTACCGACACGTATGGAAGGGTAGCTAGCTTGCGCTACGCTCTTATGGCCTGCCAAATACGGATACACTCTACATCCTAGAGGCCCTAGGCTATCAAACTACCCCCCCCCCCCCCCAATCTCAACTGCCAGCTATCTCAAGCTGATCCACACACACTTGGCAGTTGTGGATCATTATTCGCTAAGGCACTGCCTAGGATCGTGCCTGTCCTCTTGCAGATGGAACCTTCCAGGACGTCTAAACCTTATGAACACACAACGAATATAATAGAACACAGATATCCTGAAGTCAGGGCCTAAATCCTAAGCCCAACACTCGTATCAAAACACTAGGACTATAAAAATACCCACCATTTATCCAGATCAACCAGCACAAACAACTCAATACAATAGGAAGAGAACACACCGGCCAAGATGTTACCTAGGGGCTGATAGAAAGACCTCCCCGCGGAGGTACTCCTCTGCCTTGCGGCAAGCAAGAAGCACTAACCGGGTTACCTCGAAGCGACGGGCCAGTCCTCCTTGCGTGTTGATGTTCTTCGCGTGAGTTGGAAAGACGGCGCACTGCTTGGTCGATCGATAGCTGGAGCGGATTGAAGCCGACCGCTCGCGAGTAGACACATGTGGCGTACGACTTGAAAGTAGGTTGCGGCATAAGTAGCGAGCGAGAGGGCGGGCAGCGCGCGAGGACTGGCGTTTTGGGACCCTTTCGCGCACGAGAAGCGGACTCCTTGTAGAAGTTGCGCAATCCGCGACAGTCTGAAACGCCCTGAAAATTCGAGTTGTGATGATATCCCGGAAAATGAATATCGGAAACAAAAAACAACTGGTAGAAAGAGGGGAAAAGACTGCGTCGAATGACAAGGGTTGATTGCCGGTTGTTGTTCTGTGAGGTTTGAGTTGACCAAATATGGAATTTAATGGCATTTAAAAGTTGATTACAGAAACTCTAAGAAGCAAGCTAAGGACTAGAAAAAATAACCCTGTGTCCTATAGGGTTTGCTCTATCTAATCGTCACTTTACTTCTTTGGAGAATAAGTACAAAATTTTAGAAAAATAGCAGAATTTGACCATGGCATAAAGCAAGATTTTGATTTCGCAGATTTTGGTAATTTTTCGAGAGTTCAGCGAATATTATGCAGTAGAATTACAGTCATAAAAAAGAGGATGAAATGCTGCAGCGATTCCTCCTGTCCTGAAAATCTTGATTCCGTGAAATGTGACGTTTATTTGAAAAGCGCCATTACTTTCGAAACGATCTAATAGTTCCTGTTCTCCACCAGTCTTTCTTGTCCTGCACAGAAGGTAAAGGGACTAGTTGATGTCACGTCAAATCTTTTGCACAAAACTATTCCGCTTGGAAAGCACTCCAACTTCATTGTTGCAAATGCACATCTGCGCCAATTCTTATGCGTAATAGCACTATGCAGGCCATGTGTAGATTTCGACGCAAAACTTCTCTGGTATCAGAGTTTAAGTTCTGTAGAAAAGCGCGTCTACCTCATTACGTAACGCTTTTTTAGCACCAGTGACAAGCAGAGGTTACCTAAGCACCTTTCGTATTTTTTGGAAAAACGCAGAGGATTTCGGACTTAGAGTCCGAGTTGCAAAGTGTTTTAAACCAGCCATTTTTTCGGACAATTTGGCTCGTAATGCTTTGGAAGCAAAAAAAACAATAAAATTCCTAAATAGATCAAATGCAACCAGCACGTCGAATCACCGCTATAAGCAGACAGGGCAAATTGACTATTTCCCGTAGTTTTACAGCGCCCCAGTATGCATCTGGAAGAAAATCAAGTGTGTTAATGGCACATTGTCCAATCCATCTAACAAAAAGGATTGCTTTTGTGAAGAATTCCTGAAAACTGGCTACCTGTCGTATACCCACGGAATCCACGCCGATGATCTGAATGTAACCTTGGGTTTAGAATTTATTCGTTACAGGATATATGAGTATTTCACAAATCACGAACGGTATTGTATGTAAATCAAATGCTCTCCTATCTTCAAGCCTGGGCATTTCGTGAAGTGTCAATGTATGCGTGTTATGCCAAACCAGGTTTTGGTGGATCTTTATTGGTCCTAACGCTTCCAAAGTCTCGTCTTTTTCAGAGGTCCGAACTAAGACTATAGGTCTATCTGAATCTGGGCAATATACCGCCAAGGCCTGTTTCCTCACCGTGCCAGTCTAGACCTACTCAAAGGCTAGCAGCGTGAGTTCTTTTCGATTATAACGAGCCGACTGGGATCCACTGCATTTCAGCGGGTCCGCACAGATAGTCAGTAACGGATGTCACTGTGGTGTGCCACCCAGCTTGTTAAGGTTTTTATGTGCGGTTTTAAGATCAAATAACCTTGGTACGGTACCAGGACACTGCTGATTGACAGACGTTCATTTCTAACAATTAGTGACCGTTGTATAATTCTTTATTCGCACCCCTTCTTTTCCAGCTAAAATGCATGTGCGTACCTGCTAATTTGTGCGACTACATCAAAACTATTCACTCTTTAAGACTTTGAATTTTAGCTCATCATAAAGCCCACAATTTCAAAAAATAGACTAATGTTCACAAGACACATATCTTAACGAATTTTGCGATAGCGTTGTAGCGAAGGTTTGCTGGAGAAGTAGAGGTACGACAAAAAAATTTATTCTACCGTCCGCACCAAAACGAGCTTTATGCCCCAGTGCTCATTGTTTTGAACTCGTGTTCGCATGTTCATCACATTTTATACTAGACTGTTGTATTGCAAAGTTTGACTAGCTTCTACAATGGACTAGTATTTAAGGATTGTTTAATTAATTAAAGTTAGTCGATCAGTTAAGGCCGTACTCTTGTGATGATAGAACAAAAACCGATGACCTCAATTTGTGGTATAAGGTGCACCATACCACCTCATACTTTCTAGACGAAAGAGATGGTGCGCTTTGTACTCGTGAATTGAGTTAATTTTGACTAAAATTTGACTCAGCTTTTTTGTTTACAGTTCTGTCAGTGGTGCCTGAAAATTAAACACATAAGCACAATGTCACAAAGCCTCGTATAGATCATATTACGCTTCAGAAGCAGGAGAAAACCCCTTTCTCATCAACTTGATGCTTGCAGCTGTCCCAGGCAGAGGAAGACAGCTTTCGCAATTGTTATCGAAAATCGCACCAGAACTCGCGTATCTTGGGCATTCGGCACCAAAGCTTTCTTTGATCTTGGGCGCTCAAAAGTCTCCACGTGCAACATTAGCAGAGGCACTTGATGATACAAAACTGGATTGTAATTGAGCTTTTTTTGGGCTAATGGAAAATTATCTGTAACCTGTTCTGTCCTAGCAGTTTTTGTCTCAAAGTTTCCGTCTTTGTGCGCCATAGCTGTCAGTTTCGAGTTGAGCCCGATACACGTTGAGTAACTTCCAAAAGAATTTGATTTTTTGAAGCCCAATTCTGCTGGCTTCCGAAAATCTTTTCTTTTCTCTCTTTCTTTCACTTGTCAGCAATTCACATAACAATGTGCAGTCAATGAAAAAATTTGACTCGCCTTGCTTGGAGACAGCGAGTAAAAGTAGGTAGCGAAATTTGAAAATTTGTCAATGTTTTTATGCGATGTATTATGCGGTTTACAATAGAATAGAACTAACCTTTGATTTAACTGCTTAGCTGCTGCAAGGCGGGCTTTCCGACCTATTTGAGGCCGCCCGCGCCCGCGACGCAGTCTGCGTCTCTATCTCTCGCCTGCTCTCTGATCATCATAGCTTTAATAGTTCTGAAGCCGCGCATGCCAGCCTCTGGGACAGTTGAATCGAAAAGTAGGTGGCATGACGGCTCCTCTCGGCCGTGTCAGTACGCTACGATAAAGAAATAAACCTTAAAGAAATAATTGGAAATATACTTTAAAACACTTCTAATACGCGAAAATTGCTTGCAGTAGTTGATTTGGCAGCTGCATTAGGTTGATTCCTTATCTCAAATTTGCTCTTAAGTTTCCTTTCGGAAAGCATTTGGTAACAAACTCCGCAACAATCGCGCTGCTTTGAAGAGAAATCTGCATGCTTTCTTTATTTTGGAATCTCAAAAAGAGTTTTATTGTAAGAGTAATGAGTCGGAGTAAACAAGAACATTAGAAAATGAAAGAAAAGAAAAAAGTTTTTATTTTATTTGAAGGGTTTCTCAAGGTTTTCCTTTGAAATTAGGACTCAGATAATCTGCCTTGATGATAGTACTATCGATTCTTTGACCGCACCGCTTGCACCAATACAAATTCACACCATTGTACGAGTCGTGCTCATGCAGCATTTTAAAGGCAGCGTCCAGGCAGATCTGGACCTATGAGGCTTTTACGTGGAAAGTACTTTCGAGGCCCTAACTAAGGCACTGCCCAAGCGGTAGCTCAGGTAGTGCTCTAATGGCTGAAATATTCCCCTCGAAACTGGCCCCCGCGAACGTATTCGCATGGATTCATAGCAGTTTCGCGCCAGGATCCACGCTTTGCGCCATGAATCCATGCGAAACACGGTCGCGGGATCCAGTTTCGAGGGGAATATCTCAGGCGTTAGGGCACTACCTGAGCTGCCGGTTAGGCAGTGGCTTAGTTAGGGCCCAAAAAGTGCTTTCCATGTAAAATCCCCATAGGTCCAGACTTGCCTTGACGCTGCCTTTAACGCAATGAGCTTATCTTCACTAGCCGATTAGTAATCAAGCAAGTTTGACCCCTCTTTCACTTACCTTTATAATACTTTGATTCCTTTATACCGTTTTAACTGATGAAATAAAGACGAGTATTAGTGAATAAAGAAAATAAAACTCCTTAATCAGATTAATCTCTCAAAAAATTGCTTAGACATTGTTGAGTAAAAACATGTTGCTTTTTTACGACTAGATATTAACGTCTGATTTGAGTGTAGTATGTTAGTCTATCAATTTAATCATTGCAGCATGTTTAAACGCTTCATAATGGCAACATGAGTAACTATTTGTGTCACTGCAGACGGAAAAAAATTAGCATATCCCAAAGCCTCGTCGTTTTTTTTGCCTGAATTTTCAAAAAAAAACGTGTAAGTTTGGGTATGCGCAAAAAAAAAGAAACTTCGCGCTTTTTAGTTGTGCTTAAAAACTTCCAAATTGCTGATCTTCAGAGAGTTTGAATAGATGAACAGCTCGAAGCTTCGTAAGTTCTGAATTCATTATACTAAGCCGTTCCGAAAGTTGTTCTCATTTTTTCGATTTCATAAGAAAGAAAAACGTAAAACAAAGGTGGTTCCAAACACTATTAGACGCATTTGTTTGTTCCCCTTGCTGGTTACTGTTGTGTTCACTTGAATAAGGAATTTTGAATTCATAATCATTTTGTTTAAAAGCCTTAACTGCAGTGCAATGCAAATTTCTGGCCTACAGCTGGATTTTAGATTTGATATTTCCAATGCTATCTGTCGCGGTTTGCGCGACTTCTTTGAGGAACTTTGTCACCGCGTTGCAATGGGTCCCAAACAGCCATCCGCATATAAATATTGCCTTATAATGTAAATGTCACGTTCTTCTTCACCTGTCTACTAGCAAGCGGTCAGCTTCCACTTCCACCTCAATGTCAATCAGTTGAGCAGCGCACCTTTGAACTCATGCTAATTTCAACATCAACGCGCTTAGAGGGCTGACAAGTCGCGTAATCTCGTAACATCCTTGCTTGTCACACGGCAAAAAGCAACCACTGAAAATTCTCTTCTTACCGACCTTAGGTAACCTCATCCTCATCAATCGGTATGTACTCTGTTATACTCAGTTATTTTGTGTGTCAATCCAAAATAGGGATAAATGGTGAGCATCCTGCTATAGTGTTTGACTGTAGTAGTAGTCACAGGCTTAGTCCTTAGTTCATTCTAGATTGTATGCCAGTTGTGTTCATTGTGAACTTACGCCTTCCATCGATAAGAAGGCGGTCAAGCATGATTTCAGATAGTGCCAAAGTTATAAATGATGCACAAATGTCGACAATGTTAGTGGTGGTGTAAGACGGCAGGGTGTAGGATTTAGGTGCAGGTTGGTAGCTAAAGGTCTCAACTAGTCCCGTGTACCTGTGTTAGTTGCATCATAAAGCGTGGAAAGAGCACTGTATCGTTACCTCATCTCTCGTAGGGACCCTCAGAAACTTATAGAACATCAACCGGCGCACAACTAAGGTGTCATTCAATGCAACTTTTTCTCCCCTTTTAAGATGCGTTTTTTCTTCCAATATTTAATCTTTGGCGATAAAATTATAATAATTCTTGGTTTTGAACCTGCTTCAGGCTGTACCCTTAAAAAGCGAAATTTGACATTTCAAAGCGGTGAGCGCTTGATTTCTCTGTAAAATCACATTTGATATTTGAAACCTTTGAATCCCAAAAATCTTTTAGTGTTCGAAGCGTTTACGTATCTTGCGACTTTGCAAAAATGAAAACTCTTGAAAAAGTTATTTTCAAAATACTGAAAAGCTAGCTGAAGACGCTAAAAATTTTTATCGCAATGCACTTTGTTTACACTACCTAAATACTGTCGAAACTTTTCAAAAGTACAAATTGAAATTCTTGAAAGTTGCTCAAATTAGGCATTAAACCATGGGTTCAAATCGTGGAGATTATTTCAGTGATAAAGTTGATTCTATCATCAAGTTAAATCAATCCGTTTTCCCACATCGCCAATGGAATTCCCATAGGCGATGTGGAATTCCCATAGGCTAAATTGTACGTCATTTATTTTTGAGTATTTAATCACTTAAGGATGATTGACACCTGTGCACCAAGAGTGTAGCTAAACGGTGCCAACTCCTTTTGAGCCTGTACCCCGTCTCGGTTTACATTGTACTCGAGCAAGGTCCGTATTCTATTCATGTATATAAGGCGCCCCGACCGTATTGTAAATCTCCTTTCGACTAATCTACGCCCGTGCGAATCTTATATATAAAGCTGAATGACTGTTTGTCTGTTTGTCTGTACGTATGTTCCGCATAGAAAATTCCATTTCTGAACCGATCCGGACAAACCTGGCACACATACATTTTGGGCACCGGCGGGTGAGGCTACTCTTCGTCATCGATCGATATCGATTTTATCTATTTTATCAATTTTCTGCAAAGTTTGAACTACAGGGCTGCGAGTTGGCACAGGGGGGGGGGGTGAGCATGCTGATTACAAATACAATATTAGTTTTTATGTCGTCCATTACTTTAATCGATTTTATCGATTTTTTTGTGAAGTTTGACCTGCGGGGCTGGGAGTTGGCACAGGAGGGTAATCATGCATGCTGATTATGAGTACAATATTAGTTTGGCGCTATTCGGCTATCCGGGCCCCAAAATTTTTCTGTCGTAGAGCTTGCTCAAACTTCGTGTATAAAAGGGTTATCTTATATGCTGATTAC